TTTTTTAAGAATTATTTTATTTAAATTTATTTATTTATTTTTATTTGACCAGAGAGGGCAAAGTAAGCCACCAGGTCTGGGACTTGAACTGTGGTCAGCCATGTGGGAGTCCAGTGCCCTTAGCCACCACACCACCTGCCGCTCCCCTCTCTCCTCTGCCCCCACGAGTTTTAAGCTGCTGGGTCTGGGGTGAGTCGAAATCAACTACATGGGAGTCCAGCAGTGTAACCATTGTGCCATCTGCTGGCCCCTCATTTTATGATTTTATGTTTACATTTAAGTTCATGTTCTATTTTGAGGTAGTTTTTATGTAAGGTGTGAGACTTAAGTCAAAGTTCATTTTATCGCCCTATTTTACCAGCACCATTTGTTACAAAGACACTCCTTCCTCCATTTTAATTGCCAGTCACATTGACATCTAAGATTAACCATCACTGCCCAGAGAGGGAAAATGACCTGCCTGAGGCCATGCGGAGAGCTAGACTAACTTCAGACTTCAGACTAATTTTCTTTCATCCTTTTTTCTTTATATATATAAGAGGTTTTTGCCTTAGAGCGCATGCTCTCACCAGAGAGCGCTAGAAGAAACCGTGAGAGGGAAAGTGAGAAATCACCCCCCAGGGGTTATGGCCATGCCACAAACCCTTCTACATTTTCCTCCCAGGATCTTGGGCACACACACCTGGCATGAATTTCAAACCACCCTGCCCAGGATTCAAACCGCAGTCAGCCATTTGGGAGTCCAGAGATGTAATTGCTACACCATTTGCCAGCCCCAGACTAATTTTCTTGTGCTTTCAAATCAGGACATCCTAATTCTTTCTTTCTCATCCACTTATGCTGATCAGGCCAGGGTAGGATAGCATTGATCCTGAAACAGCTTTCCCTGCTCACAGGGAGATCATTCTGGCCTGAATCCACACCTGCTGGGGCTCTGGTGACTTCCTGTCAGGGCGGAGGAGGCCTCCACACCCAGCAAGTATCAACGCAGTTCTCTTCCTGGAATGAAGAGGACAGAGAAAAGCACTGGGGTTTTGAAGTCAGGCCTACATTTAAATTCGAGCTCCGCCATGTAAACCCTCCTGAGCTTGTTTCCTTCTTTGCAATATGAGCAAAGCCAACCACAATGGTGCGGTGTTAAACAACTCTCCAGATGCTTAGGCCATATAAGAAGGTCCTTGGTTCACATCCCAAGGCCCCCCTGTGAAGACCAGCTACCCACGCATATCCATGATCCTGGCTGGCTGAGGCTGGGAATAGGAGGGTGGCGTGAAGATCCTGTTCGGGGTGCACCTGCCTCCGTCATTCTCTGTCTCCCTCTCTCATAGAAGAAATAAAGTTGCTTTGATTTTTTTTTTAAACTAGCCCCCTTCATAGTTGGGTTTACTACGAAGCGGGTCAGGCCTCAGCTTCAGGATCTCTGACTTGCACAGGCTCTTTCCAAGTCTAGGAAAGACTCTAGCAGTTTTATAGTCATGTTTTTGCACACTTTTTCCTCATGAGAGCACTCCTGCTCATGTTATCTGCTCCTAGCGTAATCCACGGGGTTTGAGTCACATAAGATTCTGTTCATAAAGCTTGTCACATACAATAGGTGTTCAATAAGTGTCACTTTCTTCCCAAACACCCCCCCAAAAAGGGATAGAAGGACAGGCAGAACAGCAGGTGGTGTGTTTTGGCATGCCTTTTAATGTCCCATACATGGCCACTCAACTGCCCAGCCCAACTGCAAAAGTGGCTTCAGGGCCGAGAGACCAGCAGGGAGGGCACTAAGGCACCTGGCTCTCGGGGGAGGTCTCCTTTTTACCGATGTGGCTGTGGATCCAATCGAGGTAGCGACTGACTTTGGTATAAACACCATAATTGTGAAGGTGCCCACAGCCCTCACCCCAGCTCACCAGGCCCACCAGGAACCAGGTGCCACGGAAAGAGGCGACCATGGGCCCCCCGCTGTCGCCCTCGCAGGCGTCTCTCGAGTCCCCGAGGATGCCAGCACACAGCATGTTCTCAGAGACCATGCTGTTCATAGCATTGGCACACTCGTTGCGCGGGACCACAGGGATTGTGATAAAGTTGAGGATGAAGGTGCGGTTTCTCTTGGTGTATTTCTCTCGGCTACTCTGGTAGCCCCAGCCCGTCACCACCGTCTCTTGGCCAGCTTGGTTGAGCTCGCGCTCTGCAAGGCCACTGTCAGGGAGGCAGATGGGGATTATAGTCTGCGAGAGGGTGGCGGGCTGGGCCAGGCGCAGCAGCGCGATGTCGTTGTCACTGGTGCTCCTGCTGTAGTTGGGGTGGATGAGGACCTCCTTGATGTCCAGGTCCAACTCCCACTTCTCCCAGCGCCGCAAGTCATACTCCCCTGGAGGGCAGAGCAACTGTCAGAGGGCTGGAGAGCTCACCCCAGAGCCCTTTCCAAGGGCCCTGCATGTTCCCGCGGGCCTGGTAGAGGCCTGGGGTGAGCCCACAGCTGGACAGTATCCCATGAGTCTCAGGTTCCATGTGGGGTCAACTGGCTCCCTATCAAGGCTGACTTTTCTTGCTAGGAGTAGCCCACAGTTGTCAGCCTCGGGGGCCAAATTCTGGCCTGGATTTGGATTCTCAGGTAGAGCAGTGAGACCAGGAAAGTAATGGGCAACAGGCAAGCCCAAGGACCCTGGGGACCCGCCCCACACACCAGAGCCACAAAGTAACATGGGGCACTGTAGCTGGGAGACCAGGGAAGGAGCAGCAAGGCCAGACAGGAGGACCCACAGGACACGGGCACTGCCAGGGAAGAAAGATCTGGAAACACACAGCAGCCAAGGTCCTCATAGCAAGGCCAGTGGTTCCCAGGGAGGAGGACCTGGAAATTCCAAACCAAGCCCCACTAGGGGCCATGGGGCCCACTGACTACACTGAAGGTAGGGAGTGTGAATTCGGCCACTGTCCGTACACCTTTGCCTTATTTTTTTGTGTGTAAAAAGCCACCTCCAGAAATTGTCACAGGCTTGGGGACCCTCAGACTACTAGTGGCAGCCCACTGTGTTGGCAGATGCAAGGGTCCCCTGCACTGCCCAATCTCATCAGTCTAAATGGAGCATAGTGACTGAAGTCACACCTTTTAGGTCCCAGCACCCAAGGGCACTGAGGTCTACACACAACCTGCTCCACGTATGGGAGTGGAGGCAAGGGCGGGTGTGGCCCTTCACTGCAAACACATGTGTACACATACCTGTGCTGATTCCAAGAGTACACGGGTGTTGTGGGGGTGGACAGGGCGGGGGTACACAGGCCTCTTCTCCCCACACACCTTCTGTAGAGCTTAAGCAACCTCTTGCTCAATCACCCCAGGGACCAGGGTCTCCCAAACCTGACCCCATCCCCCTCCTTAGGCATCTGGCAGGCCCTGCCTGCCTGGCTCCAGCCCGCACCAAGCCTGACGATGAGCTTCTTGGGGTCCTCCATGCAGTGGGCCGCTGTCAGCACCCAGGAAGGGTGGATGAGCACCGCCCCACAGGCTAACTTCTTCTTCGAGTCCAACAGGATCACCTGGAACAGGGTGGGCAGTGCCATCACAGGGCTGCCATCTGCCGACTCCAGGCCCAGGGCTCCCAGGTTTCACGCAGCCCCTGAAACAGTTCTCAAGTGCTTTCTTGGGTTCCCTTGTCACATGGGCATTTTCTACCTCTGCACATTTTATGGTGCTGGCCAGTGTCAGGGTGACTCCCTGACTTGCCCATGCTGTTTCTGTGGTCATCCTCAGCCACAGCCAACACCACTGAGCAAGTTCCTCTCATCCTGGGGTATTTGGCCAAGCCTGTATCCTTAGAGAAGACTCTGGCCTCCAGACTGCCCCAAGTATCCCTGGGGCCTTCTGCTCTGTCCTGATGCCACCCTGCCTCAGGTCCCATGTATTGCTGAGTGTTCAGGGTCCTGACTCTCCCAGGGTCTGCGGGCTCCCCAGAGCCAGTCCCCCCACCCCAGTGCCTGACAGAGAGGGGAGCCAATAAGTGTGGGTTCCCCCGTTGAAGCTAGAGAGATGCTCAGCGGTCAGTCCTCTAAGCTCCATTCTAGACACTCTCCCCAAATCCCACAAACTCTTTAAAAATGTAACCCTTCTCCATATCCTGCCCTGCTCCATGGGCCCCTGGCCCGCCCCACCTCCACCCTGCCCTGGCTGCTCTTCTCCTATTAGGTTACCCTACCACTCCCACCACTTGCCCTCTGCACCCCCAAGCTAAGATAGAACTTCCCACCCTATTTCTGAATCCTAGGAGGAATTCCCAGGAGGGGCTCCATGACCCCCAACCTCAGCAAATGAGAGGCTCTATCCTGGCTCTCCTCTCACCTGCCAGGGGCTGTCTCCCCGTTTGGTCACCTTCCCGTCAATGAGTCGTGGGTCTATCTGAGTCAGGTTTCCTTGGTCTGCATCACGTTTCAGCATGTTGCGCTTCTTCTCCATTCTTTTCCACGGCCTCCCACAAGGGAACTTCGCTGAAAGGAAGAGACGGTGAGGGCCTGCGGGCACCATTCCACAACTACCCTCCTGTCTCTGTCCTCCTCCTACCTGGAGGCTAGTTTACCACATCGTGAGGTGCGGGATGGATGATGCTTAGAACACTCAGTTTTAGCTCCACACCCCCTCCTTTCAGTCAGTAAAAAGTGCCGCTAATGGCAAGAGTCAAACCAAGCACTGTCCCCATCTAGCTATCTGTCCTTGCAGGCCGTTGAGTTTCGCAGAGGTTCTGTATCTCCCAGGCTTGGGGAATCCCTGAGATACATCAGCACGGTGTCATGCCGGGTGCTGCCAACCTCCTGAGAGAGGGAAGGGATTCTGAGGAGTAGGGGATAGCATTCTCAGAGAGCCCCAAGTTGCCCCAAGGTCAGGCCCCGAGGCCAAGAGGTAAGAGCACAGTAGAGAGAATGGAGAGCTGGGGGTCTTCCCGGGTCTGCTGATAATGGGCTTTGGATGCAGGCTGAGAGACTGAGACTGCAGGGGCAATGGGAAAATCAGCAGGGGAACTGCATGACTGCAGAGAATGGAGAAGACATCCCAGAAGGTGCACCACAGATGGACAAGGCAACTGTCTTGGCAGACTGAGAAAGTAAGTACCCGAGCTAGCCGTGGGAGTGCCTGGAAGAGTTCTGGGTGTCTCTGAGGCTGGGAATGAAGGTGGGACTATAATTGGAAGGCAAATCAAGTTTGTAAGAGAAACTGCCAGAGCCCTCAGTGATGACCCCTGCCCTTACCCCCCACCTCTGCAGAAGACCATCCCCTGCAGAGGGTGAGCCAGACACTGTGGCCCAGGCACTCCAGCCCCACCATGGGAAACAGTGGCATGCTTAGCTGACTGCAGGACAGGACGGACACCAATGTCCATCTGCCAGCTGCGAAGATGTCAGCTTTCTTGCCCACTCTGCTCGGAGAGGCTAGAAAGCAGCCATGAGCATCCTCCAACCCAAGCTCAGGATTCCTCTGAGAACCCAACCTGAAAGGAAAGCCCTAAGGGTCAGGGCAGTAGGACTGATGCCAATGGGCCGTCTGGGCCTTCTGAGGGCCTCCCAGGAAAGCCCACAGGCCAGCAGGTCTGCCATGTACTTCTTTGCAAGTTCCTGCAACTCCCTCGTTATTCTGAAATATAGTTATTTGTTTTGGTTTTTCAGTAAGGGACTAGAATATAAAGTCATGTAAAGTTCCCTGAAAGAACACAAGTCGAAGAAATGAAAATGGGAAGAGACAGTAACTCTAGAGGGAAGAAATGCGAATAATGGGAGGTTCAGAAAGAGAGCAAAGGAAACAGGAGAGATTGTTAAAGAAATACTACAAAATGTGACTAACCGTAGACATTAGTTTCCATATTGAGAGTCCATCAAGGGCACGGGACAATAGAAAAAAGAAAACCCATGCCAAGGAACATGCTGAAGTTCATTAAAAGGACTGTAAAACTCTGACTTTCTAAACTTCATGTGTGTGTGTACAAAAAATTGTGTGTGTGTGTATATATACATATATATATGAAAGCGAGAAATCACCCCCCAGGGGAGATGGCCACACTCAGTCCCTTCTCCTCCATTCTCCTCTTGGGATCTTGGGCACACACGCACACATGCCTGGTGTGAGTTTAAGCCAACGGGTCCGGGACTTGGACTGGGGTTGACTACATGGGAATCCAAAGACATAAGCCATTACACCAACCGTTGGTCTCTAAACTTGATTTTTTAAATGGGAAAAAAAAAAAAAGAGAGAGAGAGAGAGAAAACAAAGATAAGCCGGCGTCCTATTGCCCAGTAGCTAAGGGGGCTGGCTCACACATGGCTAGCCCGGGTCTGAATCCCAGCCCTTGTGGTTCGAGCACGCCGGGCGCCTGTTATGTGTGAGCTGGGGAAATCTGGACAGGATGGAGAGAGGAAGGGATTAAGACGTAACCAACACCCCGTTGGGGCGGTTCTTTCTCCATCTTTCTAGTTGTCTGCTTTCCTGTCTGTCTCTGGCGAGGGCACATGCCCTCTGGCAATTAAAAACTATTAAAAGGAAACATAAAAAAAGGCAGAACCAGGGTTTTGTTCCTTCCGGGGGAACCAAGGGGAAAAGGACGGAGGACGCGCGGCCGACGTGTAATGGGAAATCACCGCAGCCAGGGCAGATGGACAGGGTGCCGGCGGCTGCGCTGACTCGGGAGACACCGGCTCGCGCTCAGGCGTTCCCAAGGTGAGCGGGCCACCCGCCGGAGCTGGCGGGTCGCTCACCTGTGGAGTCGCACTGCCTGTGGTCGTCCCCCAGCTTGTAGTCCTGGGCACAGCTGCAGCGGCGCTGGTCGGCCTCCTCCAGGCAGTATTGCGCGCAGCCACCGTTGTCCAGCGAGCAGTTGGAGAAGAGCGCCTCTGAGCGGGCGAGGAAACAGCACAGGCTTAGGGATGGCACCACCGCCCGCCCCGCGCCCCACGCTCACCGGGCACCCAGCTCACCGTGCTGGCAGAAGCGGCCCTCCCAGCCACGACTGCAGGCGCAACTGAAGCCGCCGATGCCGTCGGTGCAGACGCCGTGTCTGCAGCAGGGGCTGGTGCACGGGTGCTCCGAGGGCGGGGCTGCACACTGGTCGCCATCTGCGACAGGGAAGGGGTGTTGGCCATAGGTGCCGCCTGTCCCCTCCCTGACCCCCAGCAGTCAGAAACCCAAAGGGGAGCATGCACAGGCAGCCAGCTGCGATCTAGGACTCACCGACATACTGGGACCAGAAGGCCAGCTGTGGAGGGAGAGAAGGGGGTGTCAGGGGCCATTGGCTGTGGTGTGCAGGGTTAGGGGGCATAGGAGGGCAGCTCGAGAGCCAGGGTCAACCTTTGTGGTTGTCGCCAGCCCTTGAAACTGATGCTCCTTCCCATCCCCTCCCCCGCCCTCTGAGATCAACACATCCCCCCTGTGCAGCCGGAGGGCTGATCTCTGCACCATCTGCTCACAGAGCCTCCCAAAGGAAGGGACTCGAGTCCCTCACTAGGCAGCGCTGCCCAAGGCTTCCTCCCTGGACTCGGGGTGACCTCTCAGCATCCTGTCCTTCCCTAAGCCCTAGTTCTCTGTTGTTGCAGAAGGTCTGGGCCACAGAGTCCACAGATCTACCTAGGTACTGCTGCTACTGCTGGCTGGGAGCCTCACAGAGGCCTCAGATCCTTACCTCAGGCCTCCTGAGCAATCAGGTTTTCCCTAGAGCAGTGGTCCCCAACGTTCCTGGCACCCAAAATCCACCTCATAGAAGACAATTTCTTCTCAGATGGTGGGTGGGGGTGGGGAGATGGGGGGGTTGTTCTGGGATGACCCAAGCACACACCCCATCCATGTGCACCGGATTTCCACCACTACCACGTAGTGATGAAACAATCACACAATGGTAGGGGTCATGTTCCCATAAGAATCCTGTGTGGCCACTGGCCCGGCAGGTGGTGGAGCCAGGCAGCAATGGGGAGTGACTACAACCAGACAAAGCCTCTCTCACTTGCCCGCTGCGGGGGTAGGGAGGCAACACAGACTGGCACTGGTCCATGCCCTGGGGGTTGGAGACCGCTGTCTAGAAGGTCTGAACTGAGGCACAGAGTGAGTGTACGTCAGCGGACATCGGAGATCTTGGTCACACACCCACATCTGCAGGTGCAAGCAGGTAGGGAGGGGTCTTGGTTACACGCTCTGGTCTGCAGGCCCATGGGTGGAGGTGGGGCGGTGGCCTCCCGGTCGCACCACTGTGAGATAGTAGAGCAGTGGTGGCCAGCAGTGGCTGATGGGTGGGCTGAGATACCCGCAGTGGGGCTGGGTGGGAATCCCGGCCCAGGGCTCCCACATGTTCTCTTCCTCCTGGAGCTCACTGCAGAGCTCTGTTTCTGCAGTGCTTGAGCCCTGACCAAGATAAAAGGGCCACCCAGCAAGCTGGGCAGAGAAAGGCTGGCTGCCGGCTGCCTCCCTGGACTCTCAGAAAGCCTCTCCAGCCAGTTCCCACCTGTTCCTCAAGGTCCCAGCCAGCCGCTAGTCCACCCCTGAGGCCCATCCTGCGGACCCAGTCAGGTGGCCTTACTGTGTCATCCACGTCTTGGAAAATCTCCTTGGCCTCTTCAAAGTCACATTTCTCCTCTACACACTCTCTCTCCAGGCTGCTGGGACGCAGCTCCTCCAGGAAGGTGTTGGCACGCTTGCGGATCCGCAGCACCTGGTGGGCGCGCTCACTGCTGGAGAACACGGAGTCTGGTTCTGTGGGGAGGGGAGCACGCTTTGGTGGAGCAGCCTGAGGAGTCGGGGGCCATGAGGTGGTCCATGGAAGCCCAGCTGGGGAGAATCTGGAAAGGTCTTGTCTGGGCCCTGCAGGACTTGTTCGACCTCTGGGCAATGATGCTGGCCTCAGCTCTGGGCTCTCTTCCTCCACATGAAGCAAGTGACTGTGGGAGGCTAGAAGCCTGCACCATTCAGAGCATGTACTCAAAGACAGACAGACATGGGACCAGCATTTAGCGTAATGGCTATGTCACTGGACTCCCACGTAGTTGACCGCGGTTCACGTCCCGGACCCGATGGCTTAAAACTCATGCTGGGTACATGTGCATGCGTGCCCAAGATCCCAAGAGGAGAATGGAGGAGAAGGGATTGCGGCGTGACCATCCCCCCTGGGGGGTGATTTCTCGCTTTCTGTCTCTCTGTCTCTCTGTCTGTCTGGCGAGCGCATGCGCCCTTTAGCAAAAACCTCTCAAAAAAAAAAAAAAAAAAAAAGACAGATAGATAGGCAAACCTCCCTTCGAGGCCCAATCCAACCTCTGTGTGATGCTGGGCCAGTGTCTTTACCTCTCTAAAGTCAGTTTACTCATCCAAGAAACGGGAATGAGACAATGGGACAATGATGTAAGTCATGTAAAGCCTGGCTGTGCATTTGAGGAGCAGAGGCTGAGCTGGTCAATGCGGGTGGTGGCCTGGGACTGTCTGGTTAAGAGAAAGAGTGGGTAGGGTGGGACACCCAGGGGACTGTGCGCCCCCAACCCCCTGAATGTTAGGATAGAAACCTGGGCTCCCTGCTGTCACCATCACTCACAGCTGTCCTCATAGCTTCTGTGGACCGTGGGCCAGCCTGGAGCTGGTCTGTCAATTCATGCCATCCCCATATCCTACCTACCCCTTATCTCACCAGGGACTCAGGGGAGGTGGTGGACGGTGTGGAGGCCTGGGCAGGCCCCAGGGAGGGCCTTGTAGAGGCAGCAAGGGTCAGGGGAAGGGGGGATGGCCTTACCAAGAGTAGCTGGTGTGCCGGAAATTCCCCAGGTGGTCACGAACAGCAAGAGGCTTGTGAGCTGCCACATTCTGGAGTTACTGACACCTGTCTGAGGAAGATGTCTGAGCTCCCCGCAGCCCCCAAACCCCTAGGTGGAAGCTGAGCAAGGGAGTCAGCCTATGTGCTGCTTGTCAGGGTGGAAGCTAGGGTTGTGGGTCCTTGCCCACTAGACAGCCAGCCACCTGGCAACTCAGTCTCCTCTGCAAGGGGCTAAGTTCATGCTGCCCACCCAAGAGTAGAAAGGGACAGGGGCCTTGTGCAGATCAAAGGGCACTCAGCTCAGAAATGCTGCAGTCTGCTGGAATGTTCGTGCCTTCCCTTGTCTCATTCCATAGTGATGGTTGGGGGATAGTGGGTGGCTGTGCCTTGCTGGTCTGGTAGCTGAATTAAGAATAATAACTGGGACCAGCAGTTAGCATAATGGCTATGTTGCTGGACTCCCACATAGTCGACCACGGTTCAGGTCCCGGACCTGGTGGCTTAAACTCACACCAGGAACGTGTGCGTGCGTGCCCAAGATCCCAAGAGGAGAATGGAGGAGAAGGGATTGCGGTGCGGTCATCCCCCCTGTGGGGTGATTTCTCGCTTTCTGTCTCTCTGTCTCTGTCTGTCTGGTGAGCACACGCACCCTGTAATGAAAACCTCTCAAAAGAATAAAAAATAAAAAAAGAATAATAACTAACATTTAAAAAACTTTAAATGAACTAAAGAAAATGAGCTAACACTGATTGGACATTTATGGTGTCTTAAGCAACTTGTACACTATTCAGAGGGCAAGCCAGGACGCCAGACCACCTGGTGTGAATGCCAACTCCAGCCACTTTCTGGGCTACAGTGTTGGTCAGGAGCTTAACTACTCTGTTCCTCACTTTCCTCATTTGTTATTGATTCTGCCTTGAAGGGTTCTTGTGAGAATTAAATGAATTGATCCACATAAAGCTCTTAAAGCAGAATTTGTACTTAGCAGTTCAATAGACGTCAGCTATCACTACTTCGGTTAAGGCTCTCAACCACCCAAGAGGTAGAGAGTGATGTCACCTCCTCTTTATAGAGGGGAAAACCGAGGCCCAGAGGAGTCAAGTGACTTATCAAAAATCCACAAGGAGGAGCTGACAGAGCTTGGACTCATAACCAGGCCTGTGTGGCTCCAGATATAGAACCTTACCCTCTGCCCCAAACCACTGGGTATCCCACAGGCCGCAAAGGTAGTTCTGCTGGCCAGGGATCCGGGAGCCCTGGGCCCCACCTCTAAGACCGAGTGGGCAGGCAAGCCCCTCACTTTCCACCTCACCTGACTCCTGAGGCTGGTGTTGACATTCCCTTAAATCAGATGACCAAGGTTTAGAGGTGGGGGTGGGGTGCAGAAGAGCAGAGGGCCCTGGACTTCCAGCTGCCCTAGTAACCTGGAGACCCTGAGCCATCTCCCACTTCACCTATAGCTGGAAAGAGGGAGGCACGTGGAGAGAGGGCCCTGGGGACTGAGGCACACAGGCCTGGGCAATGCCAACAAGGTCGTGGCCTGGCCATGGCAGGGCCCTCATGTCCCTTTCTCCCCTCTCAAACCCTGGCCAGAAGACCCCATTTTCATCACTGTCCCATTTTCATCACCGCTCGACCTTCTTTTCCCTCCGCAGCCCCCATGGCCCTGCCTCAAGGGAGACTTACAGGGGTAGGTCGTAGAGAAACTGCAAGTTCGCTCTCCTGCCGCCATGACAGTCTGGAACTCAGGTTAATCCGTAACTACAAATATTTGCTTGACCCTGGGTTCTGAGGCCTCCCTCTCCACAGAAAAACAAACAAGTGACATTGTCCCTCCTGGTCCCAGCTCCAGATGGCTGGGTTTGTCGGAAGCCCACCTCTGCTCACCAAGGATGGGAGACCCCGCCGGGGAAGAAGGTGAGGGCCGGGCACTCTCAAAACCGTCCACAGATGTGGTTCCGTTTTAGCCTCATAATGGCTGGCAGAGGAAGGAACACTGTCTCCGTTTTGTAGACACGTTGCAGTTTGCCCAAGGTCTGCACAACATGTAAGAATTCTGTATTTCACCAAATCTAGGATGCCATTTGTTTTAGTGGATTTTTCTGTTCCTAACAACTGAATACCACAGACTGGGTGTTTAAGGAGAATAAAGGTTTATTCAGCTCACAGTTTGGAAGTCCAGGTTGGGGAGGAGCTGCATCTGGGGAGAGCCTTTTTGCTGGTGGGGACTCCCTGCAGGGGCACAAGGTAGCACAGGGCATCACATGGAGGGGGCAAGAGGGTGTGTCAGCTCTGGTCTCCCTCCCTCTTCTTTTTTTTTCTCTGAAAATGTTTTTTATTCGTCATAGAGTGTGTGCATATACACGAGAGTGAGAGAGAAGGAGAGAATGGAGCTCTCTCTAGTGTGTGGCAACCCCACGATCCTCTCCTCCAGTCCTTAAGCCCCTTGGATCTTGGAAGCTCACATCCGTGCCTGGTGTGTTTCAGACTGACCAGGTTGGGGATTCAAACTGTGGTTGCTGTCTCAGTTTCTCTTGAGCAGCGCATGACCGCTGTACCACAGAACCATCCCTTCTCTTCTTACAAACCCACGAGAATTAAATAATGGAGCTCTCACCCTGGAGTTTATTAATCCTAATCACCTCCCAAAGGCCCATATCTCTTTTTTAAAAATTGCCAAATGGCACATGCACTCTCCAGAGAGACCGAGTGAGAGAAAGCACCCCTGCCCATGAGGCATGGTCACACTGCAATCCTTTCTCCTCTGCTCCTCGATCCTGTCGGGACATGGGGCATGCACAGACTTCTGCCGGTGTGTTTTTCAAGCCGCTAAGGCCAGGATTCAAACCAGGATCGGCCGTGTAGGATCCAGGCTCCTTAACTGCTAGGCCATGGACCTCTGCCTGAGGCATCCACGTCCACACCTGTCCAGATGTCTGCACTCATCCAGCAAGGCCACCCAGGTGCTACAAGTGACTCATACAGGGGGCAGGGCTGGCTTCCCAAGGCTGCACCAAGGAGGTGGGGAGGGGCCCACTGCAGAGCTCTTGGCCTGTCTGCGACTGAGGCTATGAGCAGCAGGCTGTGTCATGGCCTCCTCATTCGCTGGCAGCGCGGGAGACCGGGGTCACCTGCGTGAGGCACCAGCCATCCCCCAGTTCCCCTGGCTCGGAAGGCTGGCATCGCTGCACGCAGACATCGGGAATCCAGGAGTCTCCGCTCATTTTAAGGTGTCCAGCAGGGGGCGCCGCTGCGCTCGGTGGTGCGGCCCAGAGCTGGTCACACGCTTGGCACGCTGGGTGGGCGCCCCAATTCTCAAAGTCCGACCTCCAGATACGAGTAGCCCCACGTGGGCCCAAATCAGCCCAGCCAAACCCAGAGGCAGGACGTTGCACAGCTAGCCCGCTATGATATAGAGAACAGAGGTTTCCTTGTATAAATTCCCAAGCAAAGAAAAGAAAACAGGAGTGTGAGAAAACGGAAGGCAAGGCTCCCGCGGCCTCGAACCTGGACTTGGCTCCTTCACTGACTGGATTACTTAACTTCCCTGAACCTCAATTACCACATAGGTGAAACTTGATCAATAATAGCATCCACTTCAGGGACCAGCAGTTAGTGTAATGGCTATGTCGCTGGACTCCCATGTAGTCCACCCCGGATTGAGTCCCACCCGCAGTCGGGCCAGCAGGCTTGAAGACCCCAGGAAAAGCAGCAGTGGAGTCAGTCCACAGGCAATCTACTAGCAGAATTCCTTCTTGCTTGTGAGGAAGTCAGTCTTTGTTCTAGTAGGACCTTCAACTGATTGAAGTGTGATCCAGCCCCCTTAGCTACTGGGCAATAGGACGCTGACTTCTATATTCCTTTTCATTTAAAAAATCAAGTTCAAGGACCAGCAGTTAGCATAATGGCTATGTCGCTGGACTCCCATGTAGTTGAGTGCGGTTCGCGTCCTGGACCTGGGGGCTTAAAACTCATGCTGGGCGCGTGTGCGTGCGTGCTCAAGACCCCGGGAGGAGAATGGAGGAGAAGGGATTGTGGTGTGGCCATCCCCCCTGGGGGGTGATTTCTCGCTTTCTGTCCCTCTGTCTCTCTCTGTCTTTCTGGCGAGCGCACGCGCCCTATAAAAAAAACCTCTCAAAAAAAAAAAAAAAAGCAGCATCCACCTCAGATGGTGACTGTGAGGATTAAATTAAATAATTTGTTTTATATTTTGCATTAAGTATTTTATGTAAAGTGGACAGGGCCTGGGACCTAATGGGTGATCAACTAAACTAACGATTTCCTCTTTAGGCTCCCCAGGTAGCCTCGAGAGGTTAGGTACTGCAAGGAGCTTTTGGAAATCAAAGTCAGATGATAACAGAGTCACCCTTTATAGCTGGTGAAGATCTGGGAGGGGACTGACGAGGGAGGAGGAGGAGGATAAAGGACAGATGCTGGCCATGTAAGTTTAGCAGGCACCAGCCCTGGTGTCCAGTCCCCCACACCCCAACCCTGACTCTGTCCATAGGTGCCAGGAACCCAACCTGCGCTGCTTGCCTCGAGCAGAGTGGTTAGAGTGACTGTATTAAGGGCTGCCTGCTCCCCTGTGTGCTTTGTCCTCCCTCTGGTACAGAATTCAGCTGCTCAGGGCTGACCCAGGAAGGGCAGGGAGCACTCAGGAAAGAAGTGGAGATATTTCTTGTCTTTTGTTTTTGTTTTTGTTTTGTTTTTCCAACTTGCTAGAGAACACATGTGCTCTCTGGAGAGAGATAGCATTGGGGGAAAACTTCAGTAGATGGATGAACACAGTCCAATGTCAATAGCACAATGACACATCCATTTTTTTTAAGAGCCAGATTTACTGAGGTATAATTTGCATACAATAAAATTCATCCTTTTTAAATGTACAGCTCTGGGGCTGTCCTCATAGGGAAGCAGTTAAACTCTGTGCAGAGGAAGCTGGATTCCATATGGCTGACCAGGGTTAGAGTCCCACCCCTATGGCTAACATACTGAGTGTAGAAGGTACATCATGCCTAGGATCCTGACAGGATGGATAATCGAAGGAAAAAGGATTGCTATGTGATCGAGCTCCATTGGGGAGTGCTTTATCTCTCTCTCCCTCCCTCCTCTTGTACATGCACCCTCTAGCAATAATGAAATTTTAAAAAAAATTTTAAGAGAGATTTTTGCTATAGGGACTGTGCATTCGCCAGAGAGACACAGAGAGAGAAAGTGAAAAATCACCCCTCTGTGGGGACGACCATGCTGAAATCCCTTCTCGATGCTCCTCTCAGGTTTTTGGGCACACAAGCACATGCACCTGGTATGAATTTCAAGCTGCTGGGTCCAGGACTTGAACTGTGGTCAGCCATGTGGGAGCCCAGTGACTTAACCCCTACACCACTTGCTGCCCCCAAGAAAAAATTTAAATGTATAGCTCTATTTGCTTTAACAAATAGTATAACCACTGCCCAAATCATGATGTAAGATGTTTGTGTCACCCTCAAAAGATCTCCTGTGGAGCCCAATGCACAACAGTAACATGCAATACTCTGTGACAATGCTGACTCATTGGAAAGGCTCTGGGTTCAGCCAGTGTTATATAGATAGTAGTTGCCACTTGGTGGCCCAGGTTCAGATCCTAGGTGGAGCTTAACATGTGGGGGCACACATGATCTGGGCTGGCTGAAGCTGGGGGTAGATAGCAGCATCAAGACCCTGTTGGGAGTGTTGTCTTAGAATCTCCCCCAACCCTCCCCTGTCTTTCTTGCTTATGGAATAAATAAGTAATTAAACTAAAACAAATTAAAAGTTCCCCTGTGTTCTACTTTGAACCCCTGGCAACCACTGATCTCATTTCTGTCCCTATAATTTGCCTATTCTAGAGTGACATCTAATGGAATTCTATAATCTGTAGCCTTTTAAGATTGACTACTTCTTTGTTTTTGTTTTTGTTTTTGTTTTATAAGTAGGTTTTTAAAATTCTTATTTATTTATTTATTTATTTTAATGTGACCAGAGAGGAACAGAGTGAGCCAGAGAAAAAGAGAAAGTGAGAAAGCAAGCTGCTGGGTCCAGGACTCAAACCATTGTCAGCCATGTGGGAATCCAGCGTCCTTAACCGCCACACCACCTGCCAGCCCCTTATTCTTGTTTTATTTACTTACTGAAAGAGAGCAAGCAAAATAAAAGCAAAGAACCCTTGACAGCATCTTGCCATGCAGCACTCTTCTCCCTGGCTTCAGCCAGAATCATGGTCCCCCCACATGTTAAGTTCCACCCAAGATCTGAACCTGGGCCACCAAGTGGCAACTACTATCTGGACAACACGGACTGCTTTCACTCAGCACAAAGCTTTTGAGATTGATCTGTACTGGTGTGTATATCAGTAGTGGTTTCTATTTATTGCTGAGTAGTTGCCAGGACAAAGATGTATCATATTTGTTATCCATTCACCAGTTCTTAGCTATTATCCAAGCTGCTAGAACATTCATGTGCAGTTCTTCGTGTAGGCATATGTTTCCATTTTTATTTGGTAAATATCTAGGAGTGGAATTGTGAGTCATGTGGTGAGTACATGTTTGAGTATTTAAAAATAAATTGGGGTCAGTGAGTGTTGTGGTGGTTAAGGCACTGGATTCTAACACAGCCAACCACGGTTCAAGTCTCAGACCTGGTGGCTTGAAAAATCACAACGAGCACGTGTGCATCCACGCCCAAAATCCTGAAAGGAGAATGGAGGAGAAGGGATTGCGGCATGGTCACCCCTCCTG